CTACGCTTCAAAAGAGGTGGATCGGCCCCCGCGCTTTGAAAACTGCTCCGCGGGCCCTGCTTGCAACTCCTCCTTTTTTTTTTTTTATATAAAATTCAGATTTTCTTTTTCAGTTGGCTTGAGTAGAGGCATAACCTTCCTTGCCCGTGCAGTATGCGTTCCTTCTCCATATTACGCTGACATTGGGGAGAATAGACTGCGTGACCAGCTAAAGGCAATGTTTTGTGTGTGAGGCAAGGAGCTGGGACTACTGTTTTATGCCAGTTCGCATTCCGTTTCTCTCAGTTTTACCCTTCTAAAGCTGTTTTTATAAACATAGTGCAAAGTCCGCGTTTTATACTCAGTCCGGAGTCCTCGTTTTATACCTAGTCCATTTTTTATACCCAGTCCGTGGTCCGTGGTCCGCAGTCCGCAGTCCGCAGTCCGCAGTCCGCAGTCCGCAGTCCGTAGTCGGTGTTTTATACTGACCTGCTAGTCTGCTACACAACATCAATAGGTGAAAATGGTCAGCGGTGTCCAAAACAAAGATGGCGGATGAAAGAGTGGATGAGAAAGAGAAGAAGGAAGGTGGTTCTACCAGGGTTTCTGCCAAGAATAATACAAGAAAAAGATTTGTTGGAATTAAGTCACTCGTGGGGAAGAAGTCGGATACGCTTGCAGGTATTTTTTTAGTTAAACAGTGAAGGTAACTATTTGAAATCACGGTATGTGTACAAACGTGTACGTGTATAATGTCAGGTCAACGTGTCTATAACGTAACTGTAGAGGCCTCTGGCACATTATACAGAACAAGGCTGTGCCCTAAGAAAAATTGAAGGGAGCCCAGTGCTCTGAACCTGTGAAATCCAGGGTGGCCAGTATATGATTTCTATGAAAAGTCTAAGAGTTTTTAGTCACCCGAGAGCATTGCTAGAGCACAGCCATGCAGAGTATGAGGGGGTATTTACATGAGAAAACTCGCACCGGCGCGTGGTGGCTACTAGCATTTCTCCTTTCGTTACCACCACTACAAAATTTTCATGTTGTTATTCCAACAAAAAAATGTCTCCTTTTTTTTCTCTCTCGCTCTAGATCTCTGCTGCTTTTTTTCTCATTGAGCTTCGCTGGCCTGCCGCTTACTTTGTCTTCTTTTGGGCTGTTTTTCTCTTGCTCTTTATTTCAAAGTTGTGGACTTGACAATTAATCTAAGCTTAATACTTTAGACAACTCGGATACAGAAACAATTTCCGCTTTCCGTTTTCGTCTTTCTTGACTCTTTATGTATCGGTCAAATCGAAGCTTCAACATGCCCCCCCCGGGCATACCTTGGGGCATTTGACACCTTTGCCGTCCCGGGGAGGAGGGAATTTGATTATCAGAGTCTTCCAGGGGGTGGGGAATTTGACCCTTATGCTTTAGGGGTGGGGAATTTGAACTGCACCCTCGATTTCATGTAATTGGCGTGGCGAGCTATCATGGGGGACGCGGTGTTAGAGGATTTTCGTGGAAAAGATTGTGCCTTTGTGGCCAATTGGTTGTGAGGAAAGAGCTTAAACAAGCTTTGGGCCGTATTTGAAGTATTTAAATTTTAAATTTTTTAATATTGGATTCAGGCTTTGTATGTATGAATGTATTTCATTGTTGTGTTTACAACGAAATACAATACCTATATCGGCGATTCAATACAGCAACATAAAATAAAATGAAAAGCTCAGGTCAACTACTTCGACCTACTGCAAGTATGTTAATTAATACTGTGAACGATGATGCATGTCAGTGAAATGGTCATGATGTAGTACGGCTCAAGGATGGGATCATTTTTTATAGAACGCTTTGTATGTTGCATGACGAAGAAAAGCTGAGCATTCAGTGACCTTGTAGCAGCGATTTCCGCTGCTTTGCACGAGACTTTTGTTCGTAGTAAATACGCTAACAGTGTTTCTCAGTTTTTGTTATATTTATAACTATTTTGTTCGACAACTGAAGGTGTTTCTGCCGTCCTTCTGTCATTTTTGTGCTTGTGAAATGTCCCCGGGGTGGGGGCATTTGATCACCTGAATGGACTCTAGTGTGGGGCATTTGAACGGCATTTTGTCCAGGGTAGGGGGGAATTTGAACAATAATTTTCAAAAAAGTCAAATGCCCGGGGGGTTGCCCGGGGGGGGCATGTTGAAGCTTCGATTTGACCGATACATTAGTTGTCTCTGCTTTGCAAAATGTGGGTGGCTAAGTGATTTCTCAATTTGCATTCGGGTTGCTATACCTGTTGATTGAGTTATTTTACATTGGTATGCCTGTGGTGTGGGTGGACGGTTGTCCGGTGGGTGTACGGTCAAGTGAATACCAAATTTTCTGGGATATTTAGAGTTTCTTACCCGTGGTGCTCCGCTGTGCGGGAGGTCTTCTGTTAGATGGGTGTTGTGTTACGTAGGTTTGTGGGACTCCGATGGACTGTTTGGTGGTTTTAAAAGCTTTTATCTATGGGGTGACTGGAATGGGGTGCAATTCTCAAAAGTAGTTCAACGTGGGGGCTGCACTCTTCTATGATGGCAAAATATAGGGGTTAAATTTTTTCCCATGTGCTTTCATCCCTAAGGAGACTTTTAATTAAAGCTACATTAATTGATTTTAACACCCAAACACCATATTCTCACAAACTAAAAATGTCCACAAGAAGTACTTTTAAATGGGTAATCCTTTTAAATTCAGCATCACAGGGCATCCAGTATTAGCTGTGGAGAGTTCCTGTGCTTTTTCCCTGTTGCTTCCTTATTTTGAAAAGGCTAGAGATTTTACCACAGGTTTACCAGGGAAACTGATGGAGGGGTAACAGGGCATAAAAGGTAGAGGAAGAGCGGTTCTTTCTTTGTATGAGAGGTATTTTGGGGGTTACATTTTTGTGCCATCTTACAGTTACTTAGAGGGTGGGGTTAAATTTTTTGTTTGACTTCTTCAAATCCTAAATAACAAACCCCCAGCTTTAATTAAAAGCACCTCTAAAATAGAGAGAGCTCTTTACAGTTTTTTCACTGCACAACAGGTTTTTCTTGTTGAAAGTTTTTACTGCTAAGGGACAAATGTAATATGCATATGCTTAACAAAACATCTTTGACATTTACAAATGAGTTGTTCTTATTTCTTTATTGCAACTGGTCACACTTCATCTTCATGTCATAATTCAGAAATTTGATTTTACGTACATATACTGCATTACTAACTTACAAATTGATATTAATATTATCCCAGTTTCTATAGCAGTTCCTAAGTTGTATTATTTTTCTTAGTGATATAGGTAGACTTTCGGTCAAAAAACAATGGGTTACTCCTGAACCACCTAATCTAAGTTGTTACTTTCCTTTAATAAGCTCATTGCCAGGAAATGTTTCATTGATTTTTTTTTCAGAGGTTGACACAAATATCAAGAGAGTCGTAAGGTAGATTCCAGAGGAAATATTCTAAATAATGCAGATTTGCAGGATGCTATTAGACAGGTGAATATTACTGGAATACTCTATTTAAGAATACATGTGTACACGCGTAAATGCTTTTAAATGGTACAATCAAGACATCAAACCAGATACTGTATTGAATTTTGTGATGTGTGGAGCAGTCCAGAAGTTGCATTGTGTACCACTGTGTGATGCTGCCTAAGAAATTTTATGTTTGAATTTATTATTTTTGTTTTCTTCTAATATCCGAGTTGCAGGGCAATATTATTAACTCTTGTTGTTGCCAGACACCATTGGAACCATCAGGGCTGTGCTCTAACAGTGCCTGATGGCATGAGTTTCTACCCCTACCTAATGCTTACCTCTTTGCTTTAGTGTTACCTATGCCTCAGAATGATTATCGTAAGAATTTAATTTCCTATAAAGCTTTCAGTTCTTTGCAACTCTCTAGACAACAACACAGGAGCCTCTGAGAATACAGTAAAAGCCCGCAACTAAGAGCCTACATTTTTAGGAGTTAGCCTAAACAGGTTCTTATATAAATGGTAGTTAACAGAATTTTAGGCTACTTAGGTTCTTAAAATGGGTTCTTAATCCTGGCGAAAAAAAAACAATTAAAAAACATCTGCAAACAAGTTGGTCATTAGCCTATACTTTTTAAAAGACATTTTTACAACAATGGCAATCTGCCTTTTTTGCTTCAAATATGATTCTTGCAATGTAGCTGTAATGCACTAGTTAAGCAATAGAAAACGTTTTCCGTCTTTGCATAGCCTGATATAAACACGAGAGGGGTTGGGAGAATTCAAGACAGTTATACAAACCCGAGACGAAGTCGAGGGTTTGCATAACTGTCGAGAATTCTCCCAATCCCTCGAGTGTTTACATGTTATGCTTTTTTGCAAATTGCTTTGCCATCCCTGCATGTGAAATGGCCAAATCGTTTGTTCACTTGAGAATGGGAACAGGAAGACAATAAATTCTACCATCTCTTTCTGAACTTGAAGGCATTTCCCTCAGCTCCTCAGTTCCAACATAAATTCCCTTCTTTTAAGTAACTGAGCAACTTAGGACAATCGCAAAAAAGCTTGCAAGGATGCAAAGTCTATTTTTCATTGGCGTTTTCATGGACATTGCCATCATTGGATCATTAAGTCTGTAATATCCCTGACATCATAAAATGCAGTTAATGGCACAAAATTTGTAAGGGGGCAATTGGATTGAAATTTTTAGTGTGATGATTTATTCTATGAATGAGCTCTATTCTTTTAGCTCTAAAGAAAAAGAGGTTTCCATGGCTAGAAGTATCTTAATGTAGTACATGCTTGTCTACTAATAATTTGTAAAATTTAACATGTTATGGATTCGTCCTCTTTTCAAGTCAAGTCGGCAGGGTGCAAAGAAAGTCATTTTTACAGCTTGCCATTCGGGCAAGCTGAAGCTAGCATACTAGCCCAAACATTATTTCAACTAGCCCCTAAAATTCTTTGATGAGCAGAATTGATTTCACAGTTCTTCTGTAACTTAAATTCCTCAAAATCCTTCACTAGCCTGTCAGGCAAGTTAAGAACAGAATTCACTAGCCCAATAGCAAAATCCACTAGCCCCAGGCTATCGGACACTACTTTCATTGCACACTGCAAGTGACATTAAAAACAGAATTCACCAGCCTGATAGCAAAATCCCCTCGTCCTGGGCTATCACATGCAAATTTCTTTGCACATTAAAAAATGGCATTTCAATGTTCTTTTGTGTTTTCTGCACTAAAACATTGAAAATAGTAATCAACAGTGCAATGAATTAATAATTATAGTTTGATGTGATCTTACACTGTATCTCACTACCATTTGTTCTTTTGTATTGTTTTAGTGGCATTACAGTTCCCAGAAGGACTTCTCATGTTTGCTTGTACAATAGCTGACATCTTGGAAAGGTATGGTTGACTTCCATCATTTTGCCCCCCATTCTCGATACACTTTTTAAATTCTTGACACCAAAGAAAGGGGAGTATTTTAGTAGGGTGGAGATTTGCCAGCAACGGTGAAGCTGTGAAGAACCCTTGAAGTAGCCAGATTTCTTTACTTGACTCCTTTTGCACATTTAGAGAAAGTACCAGAAACAAAGTTTTCTTCTTGGATTATTCGTTTACCTTTGTCCCTGTTGCTCAACAAGTTTTGTTTCTTTGTGAAAGTCGCATTAATTTCCTTCATTTGGAACTGTTACCTCCTCTATTGCATCAATTTTTTGTTTTTCATTAAATTTACGTAAATTTGAGTTGTGTTAATTTCCAATACCTTAATTTCATGGTGCGTTAATTTCCTATAATAAAGTATAATCTTTATTCATGAAGGGCCTGTTTACATGGAGGTGAGGGACTCCAGGTAAGTGAGGTAACCCGCTTAGGTGGGGTTACCTGCCTGTCCTTGTAATCTCTCTTTTTAATTTGATCACGTTTACATGATAGGTGGGGTGACCCGCCAAGGTGGATAGCCTGGTCTACCAGACCGGGTAACCCTCTCAGCTGGGGTCAAATTTTGCCATGTAAACGTTTCAAGGTGGGGTAACCCGCGTAGCCGGTCAGATTTGTGATTTGCGCAAAATTCGCTTTTTGTATACAAAATTGTTAATGGCCTCGCCCCGTTGTACCTGAGTAGTAAACTCAGTAAGCGATCAGATACACACCACTACAACACCAGGAAAAGGGACAATCAAAATCTCCCTCTATGCAGAACAGTTACTGCGCAACGGTCTTTTTCATATCGCGCTGTAAGTGCCTGGAACTCTCTGACCGCAGACACTAGAAATAGCCCGTCACTATGTACCTTTAAGAGGAGCGTCAAATGCGAATCGCGGTTGCAGAACCCATGCGTTAAATAGTTGATATTTGATTTAGTTTAGATCTCCAAAGAGATAACGTAATGATTATTGTACACGCATAGTTTAGGCTTTTAGTTTTTGTACCAAGATTGTAATTTTATTAATTTAAGCTTTTTCTTCTTATCCCCTTCTTTTTAGCATTTGTAAATTTACTTCAGAATAGCCCTTTGGGAGAGTTAATAAAAATTATTGTAGTGTATTGCGGTGGCTTTGCATCTTTATCCAAGGTAAAAATAGAGAGCCACAGCACTGAAGGTTGCAGCAGGAGCAGCAAGTGAGTGTAGAAGAGTAATAATCGTCACCAAAACACGTGGTTTGCCGGTATTTTTCTTGTTTACAGTATATGTGCTTAGCAAAAATTCAATAATCTTGAAAAAGTGAACCCCCAGGATGGAGGGGTTGTAAGATTGCATGTCAACGAGGGTTATTTTTTTTACCCCACCTAAGCAGGTTACCTCACCTTCCTGGGGTCCCTCACCTCCATGTAAACACTCGTTAAGTGGATACAGGGGATAGCTGCATTCTGTGTTTCACAGTCAGTCTGTTATTGTGTTTAGATTCACAGAGTGTGATACTGTTATTATGGGAGATGTCACTTATGGGGCTTGTTGTGTTGATGACTTCACTGCTAGAGCTCTTGGCTGTGATTTGATGGTTCATTATGGCCACAGCTGTTTAGGTAAGGACCTGTATAATTAATGAATTATAATAATTATAATTAATTTTATCATCAAAGATGGGCTTACAATAGCGACAAAAGTAGAGGCAGAGTCAAAAAAGGCATAATTTAAAAACAAATAGTGAAAAAGAGATTATTTGAGGTGCAAAGTTTTCAGGAAGTTAAATTTTCAAAAACATACACATAGATTTTTTTCAAACCAAGGTAAACTGCCTAAAGTATTCAATCAATCAATCAAAGAGTATAATTCATTTAACTTTGAGTTATTTGATAGCAAAATTCAGTGCTAATATCTCCGAAGAAAATAAGCACACTAGAGGATTCTAGCAGAATATTACTAGATGTTGAGAAAATTCCCAATTATCATGTCATCGTTATTCTTTTACTATGAAAGCGGTGATGAAACCAAACGTAATTATCAATGCTTTATAGACAGTTTGTTTCATTTTGAGGCTTGTCCGTACCTGCACTACAGCTAAAATTACAGGGCATCAAACACGAAGGGATGAGTCCTTGAAAAATGGGTGCGATCCTCCTTAATTGTTTCGGAAAGAAATTAACCGTTTGCCTCAGAAAAGTAGAGCTGTTATTAAGATTTCAAGTTACCAGTAAATACAACAAGTAGGCGGGGAATGAAACACCCGGGGATTTCTTTTGGTTCTCTTTTTATTTTATTTTCTTATGAAAGAAGCCGCGTGTGTTCATTGTAGCCGGGGGAAATCTTCCGCTCTACGGCCTTTAGTGACCGCCTTGTGATAAGCCAAAAATTCAACCACTGACCGTATTCCGTTAACTGCAGCTTATACGTCTTCATTAGTGCTTTTGGGAGGGTTTATAATGGGGAGGCTTATATCTTAGGGGCCTTTTAACTGGAATAGAAGAAGAAAAAGAAAGAAAAATTTACAGCCCCCGAAATGATCCCAAACCCTGATATTATCTCCAATTCGACCCTAAAATGATTCCGACCCTGAAATGATCCCCACCTCTCTTCACGTGGAAGAAATGATCCCAAATTAATTCTTGGAACAGAATGGTATTCCACGACGGAATTATTACAAGTCTGTTGCAGCGTTTACGTTCTTGAATCGCATTATTTTAGCATTTCACTAAAGTATGTGATTTTTTAGCGCTTTTGTCATCTTATCGCCTTTATGTCTACTTTTGCATCTTCAACATAAATAGTGTTAAAACACTAATTTGGAATTTTTCTAATTTCTTGATGTTGTCAGTTGCAGTTCATGGTGTTCCTAAAAATATATTAGACTTTGTGTATTAAATAATGTTTTCTTCTAACCCAATTGAAACTGTAATCCCAAATTAATGTCATTAAAGAATGCGAGCAAGTGAAGATTATTGGTGAAACTTTAATCAATAATGTGCATTTTGCTCGATCCATAGTTCTAGTATATCATTCCATTCCAAAAATTAATTGGGGATCATTTCGGGGACGATGTGAAGAGAAATGGGGATCATTTCGGGGTCGATTTGGGGATTATTTCAGGGTTGGGGATCATTTTGGGCCTGGGAGGAGGCTGTACAGCAATTCAAAAGAAGCTATAATAGCAGTACTGATGAAAATCCATTTACTGGTTTTTTATTGAGCTTTTAAAATTTCATAACAAATCGAATTCATTTTAATACATGTTCAAGCTAGAGGGAGACGGGGGTCTCATCATCGGATGTACTTTTTGGCAGGTGGGGTCGGGAGGGGGATTATAAGTGGCAGTTTACAGTATACCACCACCCCTCTCTCCTCCGCAGAGGCCTCTTTGTATTGTGGGGAGGCTGAGGAGAAAGAAAAAGAGAGCGCGCGGGGCACGATGGGAAGAGGAGAGAGAGAAGAGAGGCTCCCGCCTTTTATCTTTTCCCATCGTCCCCCGCGCGCTTTCTATTTTTTCGATTATTGCTAATTTTATAGGGATACCTAGCAGGAGCCTCTGCGGAGGAGAGAGCCACTACCGCGTTGAGACCGTGTGGATGGCTAGGAACGTTTGCTGTTCTGGTTATTTAAAAACCTGTAATCAAGAGTAATTAGTTCTGTTGATACCTTTACAGTTCCCATCGACTCTACAAAAGGAATCAAGATGCTGTACGTATTTGTGGATATCAAACTGGACGCTACACACTTTGTTGATACTGTCAGGCATTATTTTGAAGTTGGTTCCTCTCTGGCGTTAGTGAGCACGATTCAATTTGTGGCAACTCTTCAAGTATGTAAATGTTTTACTATACTTAATATGTACAATGTGAAATTTTTCTGATGGACTGTAGTTATCAGTCCTCCATTGTTCGTTTCTCTCTTGGCCTGTATTGTAAGCAAGAGAGATTGATTCAGGCGCTAGGCAATGGCACACTACGAGCAACTCGCCCTCGTTTCTCGCGGCTTGCAGCTTCGTTGCTCGCTACACGCGTGTTGCGCTTGCTACCCGCCATTAACTTTGACGAAAAAAATTACTCTACACTTACCTTTTTGTCAGCAGTGTCAGCTCGTGTACTGACTCTTTTATTCGTTCGCTCTTCATTCTCTTATCTTCTACTCGCTCACGTATTTTTGATAAACAAGAAGCTAGAGACAGCTTGAATCCGAGCTATTCAACTTGAAACCGCTGAAGCGCTTTTCTATTAACCCATTTTATGTCATGAGAAAGCATCACATTCGCCACAAGGTTATTGTTCATTGTCGGCCGCATTACAAATATACACATGTAGTCAGTGTTAAAGAGTACTGTGATTCTTTTTTATCACTTTCTTGTCTGCCATGTGATAGTAATTAATTAATTTTGTTATTATTATTATTATTATTATCATTATTATTATTATTATTATTATCATTATTATTTAGTTATTTTTTTTATAACTGGCATTCATTGTTTGCTTGCAGAGAGACCGTGATTTTCTTTTTTGTGGTTGTTGTTAGATTTGCTGTTTTAAGTGAGAAAATGAATTTTTTGTAACGAAGAAAAGGGTAGTTTTTTTTGCGAAGGATACTGAAACTCATTTATTTTGTTGCTGTTATTTGGAACTTTAGCGCTTTTGATTGCGTCGTTTTCTTTCACGGATGCCGTTTGCCTTTTTAGTGGATCAGTTACAGATATAGTCTTGGAAACCGCCCAAGGCTCTTGTCGATTACTTCGTCACGGCAGGGGAAAGGAGTACACAGAAAGTTTAAGGAAGTTAAAATGGGAATCCTTAGAACAGAGGCGTAAATATCTTTCTTGCTCTTACTGTACAATATTTTATTGAGATATTGTGACGTGGACGCCTCCAAATTTTATTACATCATAGGTCCATCGCGAACTCGTAGGAACCATGATTTTAAGCTAGGGCCGCAGCGCTTTCGCACTAATTATTTTAGGTGTTTTTTTGAAATAGTTACGTCAGTGACTGGAATTCTCTCCCGTCTGAATATGTTATCTGAGAATCTAACCTTAATTCTTCCCTTTTAAGATACTTGTGCTCAAAGTTGTATTAATAGGTATACCCTCTACTTATTACATTTTTATTAATTATATTTTGTTATTATTGTTATTATTATTATTTTATTTCTTATGTTATATCAAAAATCAATAGATTTATCATATTGCCTTTGTAATATATTAGCCTAAGGTTTTTTGAAATGTGTTCATGTTTATGAAAGGAGAGTGGCCCTAGAATGGGAATTCAATTTCCCCCTGCCGCTATCCCGCCACCTTTTCCTGCACCTTTTTACTATTTTTATTGTATGGATGGTAAAGTATTATTAAACTTAAACTTAAATGGTCAAGCCTTATTTTCACGAAAGTGGTAACCTTTCTCATTAATGTTGATGAAGGTTGACAAACATAATATTCAGCTCTCTTGTAGAAGTTTCAGCGAATTCATAGCACTCTTAGTTGGCATCTTAGTTATCTTTTAACCTGTGGCGATCCTTCATCTTTTAGAAATGATACAGAGAAAGATATTTAATCAAAGAACAGTCTTTTTGTTGAATCAGTTTTTTTTATTTCAGCGCTAATCATTTCTTCGATTAAAACCACATATTACAACAATCAATAGTATGTTAGTTGCATTTAAAGGCCGTTTCTGCCCGTTGTTAAGTCGGTTTGAAGGTAGTTTCTCTGCGAATTACAGCACTTATTGAACCAAGATGTATCCCATCGCTTTGATGTGCTGGTCGCCATTATCTCCACCGTGAGTAGCTTGGTTGCCACAGGTGTTGTAGTCATCAAAGAGCCCTCCAGTGTCAAACCCGATCCTGGAGTCGCAACTGCTACAGACATTTTGGTTGTTACCAACGATACCAATTCTCGCTTTGGAGTGGTTGCTATCGGTGCATAGAGCGTTGAATCCTTCCTTGTTACAGTTGGGTTGTAAAGAGGCGCGAGGCCCAATGAGCTTCTTCCACGTGTTACGGCCCAGTGAAGTAGCTCGATATTTACCATCTGCGATCAGTGAATACAGGGATCTGGCTTGATGATTGATGACAACAGACTTGAACTGCTGACCGATCTTCATTCCAAGACAGATCTTGTTAAACGGTGTGTTCCAATAAGTCGGTAACTTGGTCTCGTGAGTGTCCAACCCAGTCTTCCCTCCTGGAAGGTTGAAGTCGACTTTGTTGTTCCATAGTTTAGAATTGTAGTGAAATGTTGTCTGGAAAAAAAATCAGTTAACTCTTTTATATAGAGTACTATCACTTTGCTGTTTTATCTGTTTGAGAAATATGATACAGTCTCGCCTTGGTTTTCACTGGTCTTGTTGCGAAGTCCTCACTTATTATTCTCTTCATACTTTGTCTGTTACTACTTACAGTAAATTGAGCTAAAACTCTTTAAACCTACACGGAATAGATTCCCTTTCTTTCATTTGACGTGGACTCGTAACTTACATTGTAAGTTCACCTTTATATTGGGAACTAGGTGATGACAAACGTTGAAACTTCTAAGAACACTTTTAATACCTTTGTGCCGTCGATCTTCATGACCAGCGTCCATCCACCTCCTCCACATGCATCAAGCCCATGACTGGTCATGTGACAATATACGGGAACCTTTGTAGATCCAACGTCCAGCAAGTACGCTTTGTTTGCTTTGGACCTGGTTAAACGTAGAACGTCATTAATTTACTTCAAATCACAATATTTGTTTCTTTATTGAGAGCCAGAAGGGAGAATTTTTTTTAAAACCTGAATAAAATAGCCTAGGATTATCTGTAAAGCTTTCTCGAATTTTCATATGACACATTTGATACTCAAATAATACAGAGTTACGCAGTCATTACTGACTTTGACCTTCTGTAAGAGTATATTTTTTTACTTTATTACTAACCCAAGACTGGGCTGTGATTCTTGATCTGTTGCTTACGTCCTCGGCGTACTCCGTCATCTTATGCCAATAGCTTATTTAAACGTCTATTTCAACTAGAACGTTTCCAACGTTATGGAATTTTTTTATATCTGTGATATATTTTCCCATTGAAATAGTGATCGATATCTTTACTTATTATTTTCAATATTGGCAAACCGATTTTTGTTATTTATATTTTCAATTTTATCATCACTCACTGAGAACAAATGTGTTTTTTTTTTTTTGCGACCTTGAAGTCTAAAGTCGTGAATATGTTCCAAGATTTAGTAAAAATCTGATCATTTTGTCCTCTTTGTTTTTTATCTTCTCTTCTACGCCTTGAGAACATCATTGTCTTGAAGGTATGATGGATTCGTGAGTAAAAAACCTGATATTTTGGCAGTAGTTCAGTTTGCGGAAGTTGGAAACTTTGTGTTTGCAAATGAATACGTGTAAATAAACAGTGGTGAAATGGTGTTTCTTCTATCTTTTGTACTTACATGCTCTTTTTATAAATCTCTTTGCACGTTGAAGCTGTTACTGGAGAATTAGAAAACAACATTAGCTATATCAAGATGATTCACAAGTACTTCTAAATTCTTTTTAAGGCTGTTGAATAATGCGAATGGTTAACGACAAATAACACTTTACGCAGTGAATAAGCTATTTCATGGTTTAATGTCATTCCTCGCGTTAGCAGCTAAGCTTCGCTTGCGTTGTGCTCTAAATGGCAATCGGCCAAAAAGAAAATAAACTAAGAAATTTTTCGAGACTTACTTTTGTATACTTCATTTCATTATTCTGCCTGTAGTCAAGCAAGAAACTGTTTTTCTGAACGGAGGATAATTTTCTTTGTGTAAGCAATTCTNATTCGTGAGTAAAAAACCTGATATTTTGGCAGTAGTTCAGTTTGCGGAAGTTGGAAACTTTGTGTTTGCAAATGAATACGTGTAAATAAACAGTGGTGAAATGGTGTTTCTTCTATCTTTTGTACTTACATGCTCTTTTTATAAATCTCTTTGCACGTTGAAGCTGTTACTGGAGAATTAGAAAACAACATTAGCTATATCAAGATGATTCACAAGTACTTCTAAATTCTTTTTAAGGCTGTTGAATAATGCGAATGGTTAACGACAAATAACACTTTACGCAGTGAATAAGCTATTTCATGGTTTAATGTCATTCCTCGCGTTAGCAGCTAAGCTTCGCTTGCGTTGTGCTCTAAATGGCAATCGGCCAAAAAGAAAATAAACTAAGAAATTTTTCGAGACTTACTTTTGTATACTTCATTTCATTATTCTGCCTGTAGTCAAGCAAGAAACTGTTTTTCTGAACGGAGGATAATTTTCTTTGTGTAAGCAATTCTCACTTGGATTAGGAGAAGGCTGTAGTAGTTTGATTATCTGATCCAGCTTTTCATCCAAGTTCTTGATAGCTTCGCTGGTTCTCGCGTCCGTTCCAATGTACTGATTGCACACAATTGTTTCTTCGTCTGTTTGGGCGTGAACGTTATTCGTGCTGTTTGTAATTTTTGCCCCATAAGCTACGTATGCGACCAGAAACACGAAAAACGCTGCAAAAAGCCAAGATTCCATTTTGGAAGCCAAATGAAACTGGATGAATTTAATATTCCTCTAAGATAGTCTCTATTTGTTCATCTCAGGATAGTGGACTTGTGTTGGAGACCAGAAAATTTTTCAGTTGGATAATTAACAATTAGTTTTATTTTTTGACAAGCTGTCAAATATGTTGACATTCTCATTAAATGTGATAGTAAATACTAAATACATTTCGGTACTTGCGGTCGCATAAGGTCGTCGAGAAAATTGCGTATTGCTGGCCGCAAAGGAAATTTTATTTAAAAGAGTGTTTATTGTTAGCAGATTTTAGAGTTGCAAACCTAAAAAGTCTTAAGTTGTTATGCTCCTTTTAGATTTGGCCTATACTTCTATATCTTTTTTCCTGCATAAAGTAAAGTGAAGTCTAAGTTCAAGGAAAATGCACTTTCGGCCGCTGGTCCATACCTTAATTTTACTCTTTAGAAGTCTTGGTTTGTATTCTCCTTCCTTCCTTTCTTTTTTCGTTATTTTTTTCTAGTGCTTCCTTGTGTAAAAAGTATTAACGTGAAAACCAGTTGTGGTCTTAAATAATTTACGAAACAAAAAGTAAACATTATTTCATGACGTTGATACAAATAAGACAAAAGTTATACATAAAGCGTTTAATAGCGCTTGAGCAGTGTCTATAACACTTCGTTCCGCGCTCAGTATCTTGATAGAGTCAGTTTTGATCTGAGACGATGCTTGAAAAGCATATTCCTTCGTTCTGAATTTTGATACCTTCTGCCCCAAACTCGATGGTGCTTTTGAAAACATAAAAATTCGTCCTTGCTCTCTAAAAACGTTCTCCAAAGGTATCAACCTGGGAACTGGTTGCGGCTCAAGTCTGTTACCTTATAACAGGCGCTGGTTGATACGAGGTTTGCAACAATCACACCTTCAACGCTTTCTGTTGGGTCTTAAGCCGAGTTTCTATAAACCTTCGTGTCCTGATTAAGTTTTTGGCCTGAGACGGTACTTTTTTAATCCAAATGATAGAGAAAAGCCTTTTCAATACAGGATTTTATTTCATCTCATTTTTACAAACCCCTTAATGGAATAACTTTTGAAACGGTAATCAACAACAATCAATAGTTTGTTAGTTGGATTTGAAGGCCGTTTATTGGACCAAGATGTATCCCATCGCTTTGATGTGCTGGTCGCCATTATCTCCACCACAAGTAGCTTCGTTACCACACGTGTTGGAGTCATCGAAAAGCCCTCTAGTGCCAAACCCGATTCTGGAGTCGCAGCTGTTACAGACATTTTGATTGTTAGCAACGATACCAATTCTTGCTTTAGAGTGGTTGCTATACGTGCCTAGAACGTTGAATCCTTCCTTGTTACAGTTGGGTTGTAAAGAGGCCCGAGACCCAATGAGCTTCTTCCACGTTTTGTTACGGCCCAGTGAAGTAGCTCGGTATTTGCCATCTGCGATCAGTGAATACAGGGATCTGGCTTGATGGTTGATGACAACAGACTTGAACTGCTGACCTATCTTCATTCCAAGACAGATCTTGTTAAACGGTGTGTTCCAATAAGTCGGTAACTTGGTCTCGTGATTGTCCAACCCATTTTTCCCTCCTGGAAGGTTGAAGTCGACTTTGTTGCTCCATAGTTTAGAATTGTAGTGAAATGTTTTCTGAAAAAAAAAAAAAAATCAGTTAACTTATTCATAAAGAGTACTATCAGCTGTTACTACCAGCTGTTTTATCTGTTTGAGAAATATGATACAGTCTCGCCTCGGTTTTCACTGGTCTTGTTGCGAAGTCCTCACTTATTATTCTCTTCATACTTTGTCTGTTACTACTTACAGTCAATTGAGCTAAAACTTTTTAAACCTACACTACACGTACGTACCGTATTCCCTTTCTTTCATTTGACATGGACTTCTGACTTACATTGTTGCTTTACCTTTGTATTGGGAATTAGGTGATGACAAACGTGACAGCTTGTGAAAACATTTAACTTGTAATACCTTTGAGCCATCGATCTTCATGACCAGTGTCCATCCACCTCCTCCGCATGCATCAAGACCATGCTTGGTCATGTGACAATATACGGGAATCTTTGCAGATCCAACATCAAGCAAATACGCTTTATTTTCACTGGACCTGTTAAAACATACCACTTTACTGATTACTCCCAGCTTGTTTGTTTGTTTGTTTCTGTTAAAGTTAGGACGCGATGGAAAATCAGAATTCTCCTAAAAGAAATTTGTCTTATCAGATAAGCAATGTTTGGTCGAAGTTGAATAATCTTATAAAAATATCGAGTAGTGTTGTTTTTACTGACTTTATCGATAAGAAGGACTTTTCGTTACCGCCATATATATGATAACTGTTCAATCCTCTTAAGTTAGTGATTCATAAACTATCTTTCCAGCTTGAGTGTTTCGTAAATTGTCTGAGTTTTCTATTTAATTTTAATTCTTTTTTATTCTTATCTTCTTATTATTTTCTTACCATTTTCTTATCGGTATTTTAGTTTACTTGTAACCATTTGTGCACCACTTTTCACTTTTTATTTTCTAAAATACTGAAGAATATTCAGAAGCAATTCTCTGTGTTTTTCTTTTGTGACCATAAAGGCCAGTCTTTTTTTTAAAGATCTAACCTAAATCAGTTCAAGGTTTAGTGTTTTAAGGGCTTTTAGCGCTGCAATGTTTGCCTACATCAAATGAAACCCACAATAATAATTTTCCATAGAATTTAAGCATTCTTTAGATTGCCTTTACCTTAGTTACATAAATTTACCGATACGAACTTTTATTCTGGGACCAATTCGTTTTTTTGGAAGTTTTTGTTGACTGTTTGTAGACGTATATACTTACAAGTTCTTGGTATAGATTTCCTTGCACGTTGAAGCTGTGAGACCGAAAATAAAAGGATATAAAGCGTGTTATTTGTAAAAAGAAGACTTTCCACACCATTCCGTAAGAAACACTTTGAGATATGAGATATTTTTTCATGGTTTGTATTCAGGTTTATCACTCCTGAAGTCTCGAACTATTTCATAATAAATTCATCACAAAACGCTGTTCAAAGAATTTCTTACCGGTATTAGGAGAAGGCTGTAGCATTTCAATTATCTGATCCAGTTTTTTGTCGATTTTCTTGATTGCTTGGTTTGTTTCAGAGTTATGTCCGTTGTACTGGTTGCAGACAAATGATTTGCCATCGGTACTTTTCGTTCCATTCGTTGCGTTTGCTGTGAGCAACAGAGAAAAAGCTAAAATGAACCAAAATCTCATCTTTCGATTAAAGTTTGCTGTATTGAAGCGTTTGTTATCGAGTAAACTACAATATTCTGTAATGTTCCTTGAACCGGAATACTTGTACTCCGCAATGCTGAGTCTCTTTTTTTAGCTTAGTTTTGACTCGTATAGAAGACAAGAAAATTTTCCAGTCGAAATATTAATTAATTAATTAATTACTTGGTTCATCGTATCCGTTTAAAATGACGCCGGTGAGATCTCACCGATAAGCGCTGGCAGTTTGAATGCTAAATTTGTAGTAATGTTCATGAAAAGCTCTCAAATTCTTTGGGAGTAACTTATAAAAGTAGACGAAAATTGTGCTTGAAGGCACACACCGTGCTTCTGTATAATTTTGTCTGTAGCAGACGGCTGTTTATAGCCGTGCCTCAGTTTCTTTACGTATAAAGACAAAGCAGGAAATTCATAGAATGTAATTGACTTAACGCATTGGAAATACGGAAGTTAAGGGTCTCGACCGTTTACAGCTTAAGTCGTGAATTATTTTCAAATTATTCCTTCTTTTAGACAAGTTTTTTTTAACTTCGTTATGTTTTTTGTTGTAAGTAAGAGTTTCTTTGATGAATTTATGGCTTGCTATTTAATCACTACATGGATGTCTGGCTAAGGATACATCAGACATTTGTGTGCGGGAGCAGAGTAGGGAGGGGAGGGTAAGGAGAAACTCTTCTTTTCCCCCGAGCCCCTGTCTCCCCGAGAGATTGCTCGCGTGACCTCTGGAGCCAGGATAACCAAGAAGGTGATCAATTCAATGTTGCTTAACTCTGTGTGCGAATTACCGGGTGTTTTCGTACGTTCAGTGTAATCGTTTAAAAAAAGCGTGAATAGATTTGCGGAGAAATATTTTCTCCTGATATTCGTTTATGTGGAGGAAAGAGATGCGACTAAGTAAACTATAGAGGTTGTGTTTCTTATTTATCTATTTAATGTTATCTTTTTTTCTGATTTTATCATAAATATGCTTTTATTTTTTATAGCTCTCTGAAATTCAGTTGTTTTGCTGATAATTTCACATTACCCATAATACACCTAGCTGTACGTTCTCAAAGTTTGCGTAAGGATTGTCTTCTATTTCCCTTGGACGTCTGTTATACCCAGGAAAAATGGAAAACAACGGTTAATATGCAAAACTTTGTAGACTGAAGGGTGTTTAATGGGCAATATAAAAATGGTCAATGTGAACAGTTTGGACCGCGAGTACCGATTTAGACATTTAATTTGGCTCTTTTACTCCTAGGTATGCAAAGAATAGCTTTCAGAGGCCGGATAACTATCACAGTGAATATGTGCAATTCGTGTGTTATTTGCTGTTGAACTGTGCAGTATTTTCCAACTAATGATTTTTGTTCGTGAAACAGTCGCATATGATAGCATGATTTATTTGTACAGTCTTTTCAAATGGTTAATGACAATAAGCATGAAAACTTGTGGGATTGATGGTCTGTCCGAAGAAACATTCTCTTTGTAAAATTCGATGTGTAAAGACTGCGTTCATGAATCTGTATTTTTAGTATAAAGCAGCTTATGATATCAGAAGTTAACTAAGCCGAAGGAATGTTAATTTTTACCACTGTTGCTTTTTGCGATTGTGACTGAGCTTAATCTCGCGCTAAGTGTAACAATGTGGTTATTCCCAGTGTAGAGATCCAAGTCCCCATACACAGCTGCTGCTGGTGATTCGCCTCATGTCCAAAGAGTTTAACATTACAGGGATTTAGAGTTTACGACAAACGGCAAACAGATTCAAATTGAGAAATTCTCAAAATTCCTTGAAACAATTCTTAAGGATAAACTGGCGTGAATTTTCTGGGTTTTTTTGAAGTTACAATGAACAGTAAGCGAAAAGTATAGGAAAACATTGGTCCCTTGGTGCAAATTTGTTTTTCTTTTTTCAACGTGTTTCGACCAGTTCACGTTTTTAGAACCGGCCTTTGTAAAGGTTATTTAAGAATATGAACATGAAAGTCATCTATATAATTTTTTGTGGGTATATTTTGTTGAGGAGCGCAAAACTGCTAGGCGTACCACTGCTTAGGGAAGCTAATGGTGTTTCCTTGACGATAGTGTGATTGATAAGGAGAAAGGATAGTGGCGTCACTCAGTTGCGTTTGAGAACAATGAAATAATTCAAACAAAGACTAGACCCTAAGCGATCGTACTTCTTTCCTCAGAGACACGCGCGGCGAGCGAAATTATGCAAATCATGTTAAAAAGCAGGAGAAATTGGGGCAGAGCTTGGGCAGAGAGACTCCTTTTTACTCTTGGCACGGGCTTCCGCCCTCGTTCCTCACGACTTCGCCGCTCACCCCTGCTCTCCATCTTCTGTGACTCAAAAAGAAAGTGAAGAGACTGTTCTCAGTCTAGCAAAAATGTACGTGCGCGAGTTTTTGTGACCAGAGACGATACTTGTTTACTCCAAGTGATACAGAGACTGAAGCATAATAAAGAAAGAAACTTTCTGGCCTTTTCCATTAAGGATTTTATTTCATCTCATTCTTACAAATCCGTCATCCTACAGTCAATTTTTAACCGCTTTTTGACAAGAATAAACAATTTCTTAGTTGCATTTTAAGGCCGTTCGAAGTTTTTTTCTGCGTACTGCAGAACTTAGTGAACCAAGATGTATCCCATAGCTTGATGTGCTGGTAGCTATTATCTGGCGCGGGTGTAGCTTCGTTGCCACACGTGTTCGAGTCATCATGGTGTCCTCCAGTGCCAAACCCAATCCTGGAGTTACAGGTGCTGCAGTCTTTCTCGTTGTTCCCAAGGATACCAATCCTTGCTTTAGACCAGTCCTTGTAGGTACAAACTACATTGAATCCTTCCTTGTTACAGTTGGTTTGTAAAGAGGCCCGAGACCCAATAAGCTTCTTCCACGTGTTACGGCCCAGTGAAGTAGCTCGGTATTTGCCATCTGCGATCAGTGAATACAGGGATCTGGCTTGATGGTTGATGACAACAGACTTGAACTGCTGTCCGATCTTCATTCCAAGACAGATCTTGTTGAACGGTGTGTTCCAATAAGTCGGTAACTTGGTCTCGTGATTGTCCAACCCAGTCTTCCCTCCTGGAAGGTTGAAGTCGACTGTGTTGCTCCACAGTTTAGAATTGTAGTGAAATGTTTTCTGCGAACACAAAAAACAGCAATGAACTCTGTAAGTCCTTATTATGTCAATCTCATATTATCCTACTCATACTTTGTCTGTTACTGCTTACAGTGAGTTGATACATCATTGATCCAACAATTTTTAGACCTAACCTCACCAGATTTCCTGTCCTACCCCTTTAGCTTGACTCTGGACTTGCACTGTAATTTTGTCTTTAGAATGGAAATTAGGTGATGAAAAACCAAGCTAGATGTGAAAACATTGATCTTTAAACACCTTTGAGCCATCGATCTTCATGACCAGGGTCCATCCACCTCCTCCGCATGCATCAAGCCCTTGACTGGTCATGTGACAATATACGGGAATCTTTCTGCATCCATCATCCAGCAGGTGCGTTTTGTTTGCTTTGGACCTGGTGAAAAGTACAATTTCATTGGCAAACTCAAATCAAGACATTTGGCCATTTTTATCGAGAGGAAGAATTTTATTACATATAAATCGCTAGGATAATTTGAAACGCTGTCTCAAAGTCCAACACGGTCCTTGGATAATCTAAGAATAACAAATAACGTCGTCATCGGTAAACTCGACGCTCCATACAAGTACTGTAAATTTTCTTCTTTTGTTCAGTCTGTTACTTTTATAGTACCAATCCCAGATCGGAGTTTGTTTCTTGATCTGTTGCTTACGTACACCATCTCCTTATGTTCAATTTTTGCTGCATTGTGGTAGTTTCCTATGTCTGCAAAATTTCTTTATACTAAACCAGTGGTCGCTGTATTCATTTGTTACTTTCAACCTTTGTTTCCTTCTTACTATTTACCTTTTCAAATTTGTACGTCACTGATTAAAAAATATTTGCAATTTTGTTCGCTTTAAATCAGTTGCAAGAGTTATTACAAAACTTCCTTACTTTTCTCGCTTTTTTCTTGGGAACTTCGTTATGTTCAGAGTTTGGATAGGTGTGCGGAATACCTGATATACTGCCAACAGTTTTACGGAAGTTGGGTATTGTGCGTTTGTAAATGGAGATATGTGTTAATTAACGGAGTTAGAATGATGTATCTTTTATACTTACATGTTTTTTTCATAAATCTCTTTGCACGTTGAAGCTGTTACTGGAGAATTAGAAGACAGTATTAGCCATATCGAGATGACCTACGGGGGACTACAAAATTCTGGTAAAGGCTGTTAATTAACACCAATATTAACACCTCGCGCAGTAAAATTGTACTTCATGGTTTTATTTCATTCTTCGCTTTAAATATCAACATAGCTTTACTTGCGCTCTGTCGAACAGCTTAAAAAAACTGAGTAAACAAACAAAAACAAAAGGGAAAGAAAGAAACTAAGAAAGGAAAAACTACCAAACTTTTCGAGACTTACTTTTGTAGTATCGTTCTGTTTTTTCTTCAGCTTGTAGTCCAGCAAGAAACTGTTTTTATCTGTTTCTAAATGCATGGAGGATATCTTTAAAGGCAATAATCTTACTTGGATTAGGAGAAGTTTGTAGCAGTTTAATTATCTGATCCAGTTTTTGATCGAGTTTCTTGATAGCGTCGGTAGTTCCAACGTCCGTTCCAATGTACTGATTGCACACAACTGTTTCACCGTCTGTTTGGGCGTGAGCGCTATTCGTGCTGTTGGTAATTTTAGCACCGTTTGCTTGGTATGCCGCGACGAACAGGAGCAACGCTTCAAAAAGTCAGTGCTTCATTGTGGAAGCCAAATGAGACCGGATAAATACAATATTTCTATGAGGTTTTCTCTGTTTATTGGCTTCTGAACAGTTGACTTGTGTTGGAGACCAGAACCAGTGGTCGATATTAACGGCAACCCGCTTGGTTAATAAAACTGTGTCCAAGTAACCAGACATAGTTAGTAAAAGTGTTCCTAAAAATAATTTTCAAAAGTCTGTTTTGGAGGCAAATATTTATCTTGAAGAAAGGCTGGACTGTTTCTTTTTGCACGAGATTGTTTTGTCTCGAGCAATTTGTAGTTTTAAAAGATTCTTTTAGGTTAAGTTCGTTCGAACAGTAAAGCAGCTACAGTAATATGAGCAACTTGTTTTGGGCCTTTGCTGCAAAACGAGTTGAAAAGCCACTTTCTACATTCTGGAACAACCTGATTTGCTGTAAGACTTGTTTGACTGGTGGCTTCTAATACGCACAATATCGCAGCTTTATAACTCGGTTTAAGTGAACCAATGGTGCAAAACTAGTTGCTCGTTTTCCTGCCCGTTTTTACCATAGCTTTACGGTTCGAACGACAAGAAAACGTCGAAAAACGCGGGCTTTACGGAACAGGCCTATCAGTACAGTTTTCAACAGTGCTTTGTAAGACTCTTGAAAGTGTTATAAACAAAGACGTAAACAAGAAGGTCAAACATTCCGCACAGATTTGAAAAAGGTATCCTTCTGGTTACAATTCCTCTGTAGATAAGATTTTTTGGTAATGTGCAATGTGTGTGGGGAGTTTATACCATAGCAGACAAAGGCTAATTAGTTTTCCATTTGTATTGCAAGTCTAAGCCAAGAAATCTTGATTTATAAACTCTATGATATGGTTTGCGAAAATTATGTTTACTATCCCGAACGGTTAGTTACAGTATGTTGCCCAGTATCCGGACGGTACCAGTATCCGGACACTTAAAACAAAAACTCAGTTTCTGAGGCGCCCTTTTCAGCTATCGGTAAACGAAGTATTTCGAATGAAAGCTGAACATTGCAGCTTTAAGATGAAGGTTTTGACGAGTTGAAAGCTTGCGAAACAATCGCAGAAGACGCCGTTCTGTTCAGGTGAATAAACATTTCATGGCTAATATTTACGGTGTTTACTGCGCACTAAAATTAGTGCTACTCAGAAAAGTGTAGGTAAATAATATGTGATATTTTCAAAGGAGCGGTTTTATATTTAATCAATCAAAATAATCAGTTTCTGAGGCGCCCTTTTCAGCTATCGGTAAACGAAGTATTTCGAATGAAAGCTGAACATTGCAGCTTTAAGTTGAAGGTTTTGACGAGTTGAAAGCTTGCGAAACAATCGCAGAAGACGCCTTTCTGTTCAGGTGAATAAACATTTCATGGCTAATACTTACGCTGTTTACTGCGCACTAAAATTAGTGCTACTCAGAAAAGGGTAGGTAATATGTGATATTTTCAAAGAAACGGTTTTATATTTAAAGTGAGGATACTTAAAGAAGTCAGGTTCTCAGAAAGTTTGTTAATTCTTCTTGAAATTCGATTGGAATAACGGAGCCCAGAAACATTCACTAAGTATTGATGTCAGGTGCCCAGTATCCCGACAGTTTTTTCTTTGCTGTACAGAATCGATGAATTAGCTGTGTACATTATCCAGATAAGATTTATTTCATATCTATAACTATAATTAAAGCTTAGGATATATGATATAGTCGTAAAATGTAATTCTACTCAACTCCGTACGGAAATTTTCTTCACTCATTCGGAGGTGACTTGATTTCGTGTGCGCCGCTTGTTTCGCGTGACTGCATTTTCTATATATAATCGAAACCGTCGGAGTTGAACCTGGAATTCTCATACTTTCCCCAGTTGTGACTGCTAGAATAGGGTTGCAACGGTCTGAAATATGTCACAAAGGGATTGAGAGATGTGAAAGAAGGAGGAATTAGTGCTAGAAAAGCAGGCTTATTATAGGGTCTGTAGGAAAAAATCAACACTGCAGGTCAGACTAAATAGCAGAGTGACCTTTGACCGCGTCGCATTGAGGTCCCTTCCCCAAGTAGCCTGCGATTCCGCAAGCTTTTTTTAAAATAAAAAATGAAGAAAAAAAGTCGTTTGCAGATTGGCTAATTGAGCTAGCAAACTGCGGCTTCGGCATATCCACGGATGCCTTCCTTAAATCGGTGAAAAAGGTCCTAGACAACAAGGAGGTAAGTATTATGCCATTTAACAACCGCTCGCGTTCCCCACCATACCCCAGTCATTTGCTTTGTTTTATTTCACAATGCTAGGTTATATTTTTAGAATCGATAGCCAGACTACTTTGCAAGTGCAAGAGAAGGTTATAAGTCGCTTGCCTGTCGAAATTTATGTTCAATTACGTTGTTATTGTTGTGTCCGGATACTGGGCCAGCTGTCCAGATACTGGGCAACATAGGAGCTCTGCAAAAATATTAATTTCGCGATGGAAACAAAGGCAAAAAAGTTAAACTGTCTTTTGTCATATTAAGGACAAAATAGATTTTCTCTGGGCCAAATTTCAGAGCTCTGGCGACTAACAATGGAAAGTTATTGCAATGTTAAACTTAAGTGTCCGGATACTGGGCAACATACTGTACCTAAAAATTCTGAAAATGACATTTTCCAGCTGGGCTATTAAGTAAATAGACCTGTCAACTAAGTCCCGAGTAAATCCTGATAAATAGTTACTAATCCAAATATGAAGATCAATAACGAAATGAATTGTGGGTCCTGTGTACCTATTTCCGGCCACGAAATAAAATGGCCGAATTTATACTGGAGGCGAATTTTCTAAATGCCTGAACGTATACTAGAGATGAATTTTTCGTCTGACAAGAGGTTCGTTTAAGTATAAAGTCGTAAGACGAATTTAGACGAATTTTAGAGGACATTTATCCTAAAAGACTGAACATGAATGATAAACAAAAAGGCTGCCTTCATAGCTCTTTTGATCAACAGCTAAGATCGAGAAAAATGGCAGTATTTCAGTGTAATAGTGTGTTAACAGCGTTTCTGGACAGTCTTTACTTGACCTTTTTTTAACATTGTTCAGTGAAAACACAATAGTTTAATCACACATTTGTTCAATGACATTTCACACAGCTAGCTTTATTTCGAACCGGGAGTGATTGTTTTTCCTCTCCTTTTAGCTGTTTCGTTGAGACTTGGTATGGTTCTGGGCGCGCCCTCTTTGACATTGTATCCCATGAAACCCTGAAGGATATCTTGTCTTAGGCGGATAATTAGCCTGTAGTATAAATCTTGATTTAGCCAATGTCAGTGTTTATAGCAATGTTCATAGAGTTTATAGAACTCAGTTGAGGGAATTTTAGGGTTTTAAACCTGAAACGTCTTAATTGTTGTGTTCCTTTTTATATTTGGTCCTAGTTTCTTGTTTGTTGTTGTTTTTAGTGATCTTTCTGTATGAAGTATGGTTAACTCTAACGTTACAAAAAAGGCATTTTCCGCTGATGGGCGAAATTTTAACTTTGTTCTGTAGAACTCGTCTTTTGTTCTTTTCTCTTTAATTATTTTACGAAGTAAGCAAAATTTCAATGTTGACGAAAATCAACTTTCTCGCCTTTTACTAGCCTGAATTGCAGCCGTTTCGTCAAGTCGCAAACTCCCGGGAGGGATGTTTGCGACTCGAGGAGACGTCTGCAATTCAAGCTAGTTTTTTTACATGGCTTGAGCAGTTTTCATAACACTTCGTTCCGCGCTTGTTATCCGGATATACTTTTTGACCTGAGGCGATACTAATGTAATGAAAATGATACACTGCAGAGAACTACATTCAGTCATCAAAGAAGCAGAATTTCTGGCCTTTAATGCAAAATTTTATTTCACCTTATTTTTACAAATTCCTTATTTAACCGCTTTTTAAAAATAATTAACAGTTTCTTAGCTGCATTTTAAGGCCGCTTGAAGGCTGTTTCTGCGTATTACAGCTATTACTGGACTAAAATATATCCCATCGCTTTGATGTGCTGCTCGCCATTATCTGGTCCATGAGAAGAAGCTTCGTTGCCACACGTGTTGGAGTCAACAGGGAACCCTTCAGTGCCAAACCCGATTCTGGAGTCACAACTGGTGCAATCCTTTTGCTCATTTCCAACGATACCAATTCTCGCTTTGGAGTGGTGGCTTTGGGTGCATAGAACGTTGAATCCTTCCTTGTTACAGTTGGGTTGTAAAGAGGCCCGAGACCCAATGAGCTTCTTCCACGTGTTACGGCCCAGTGAAGAAGCACGATATTTGCCATCTGCGATCAGTGAATACAGGGATTTTGCTTGATGGTTGATGACAACAGACTTAAACTGCTGACCGATCTTCATTCCAAGACAGATCTTGTTAAACGGTGTGTTCCAATAAGTCGGTAACTTGGTCTCGTGAGTGTCTAACCCAGTCTTCCCTCCTTGAAGATTGAAGTCGACTTTGTTGCTCCAGAGATTGGAATTGTAATGAAAGGTTTGCTGGGTGCATTTGAAAAAAAGGAGTAGTTGGTCAGTTTGCTGTTGTATCTGTTTGGGAACTGAAATATGGCCTGAAAGCCACGTCTAGTCGTTTCAATTGGTTTCACTGGGGAGTTTACGCAAAGACGTTTTTGAGCGACGCACGTCAACCGGAAGTAGAAGTTTTGCATTCTAAGGCAGTTGTTTTGCCGAAATTTCGGGCAAATCGTCTGTATTAGCGTCAACACAATTAGCAATAGAAATTTGCTAGCATTAAGGCATAATAAAAGGGAAAAGACGTGACTTCCGGTAGATAGATAGATATATGGATGGATGGATGGATGGATAGATGGATAAATGGATGGATGGATGGATGGATGGACCGATCGATCCACGGTCAATTCATCAGCCAAAAAATTACAATTCAAACAGGTAACCAGCGTCTTCATCGTAATCTGAAAATGTCAAAACACGGGCTGCTCTATTTTGTAGTTTTTGAATTTTGTTCCTTAAGGTTATCCCACAGTTTCCCCAAACAGTATTGCAATAATTGAAGTGAGGGTGAATAAGAGCTTGGTAAATTAGTTGTAAGGTCGCTTGGGGGACAAGGTGCCTTATTCGCTTTATGGCCCCGATGCTAGAAGATACTTTATTATCTTCTCCATATGGCTACCCCAATCGATATTATGATCGATGGTTACTCCAAGAGATTTAGCAGTAGCGACTTGGGTAACTCGAAAATGATTTATTGCAAGTGTTGGGGAAACTGTTCCAGTACCTAGCCTCTGCCTAGATCCAATTAACATGAACTCGGTTTTAATCATATTTAGAGTGACTTTGTTTGCTTTAAGCCAATTGTGAACATTTTCTAGGTCTTCGTTTAAACTTGTCTTCGTTTAAACTTCGTGCGTTGCTCAAAAACGCCTTTGCTTTAGCTCTTTAGTACTGTCTAGTCTATTACTGCTGCCATTTTCTTCTTCATACTTTGTCTTAAGCTGATTGCGCGCGGGAGCCTGGCACTACCGGATTTTTCCGGGCTTTTTAAATTCCGGATTCAAAATGTCTTCCAAAATAGAGGAACAAAAACAATGGTCATTACATTCAGTTGAAACGATGTTAACGGTACTAACGGGCAGATTACTCCACAAAGGCACTATTCTACAGCAAACAACAGTTGTTTTACTGCAAAAAAAAAGACTTTCGCTGCTTGGAAGTATTGGAAGGATTGCTGAATTGATCGACAAAAAAAATCGAACAAAAAACCGTCAAGTGAGGCTTTTTTACGGCCCTGGATCCGACCGAATATTGGGGAATGATAAGGGAGTGGGTGTAGCTGTTTTTACAAACCGTAAAGTAACCGTAAAGTAAAGACTACCAAAAAGCGAAATACGACGCTAGGGTGACCCTGAGTGAAAGGGCAACACCGTATTGGGTCGGCAAGGCTAAATTTGGTTTTCTCCCCGTCGTGCCGCTGCGCAGCGTGTCAGTGGAAATCCTAAAGATTGGAGCGGAAACATTTCTCACTAAACATAGATAAAAGCAAGTATACTTCAGTCTTACTTTAGAGGCATTTCTCGTCCGGTAACACTGCAGTTCCTGTGACCAGACCTCACGCATTGACCAGTGTTGTAATACACAAGTAATTTTTCTTAGAGAGATAAATTGTGCATAGCTTTTTTGTGAGGCCCCTGTGTGTGTGATTCTGTACTATCCAGTGACATTACAGTTCTAATAATTTAGACACCACTCAAGACATGTATGAATTTAATGATAAAATTTCGAATGGCAATGGCTTACAATGGCTCACTTGATGAGCTGCCTCTTTTTGGAACTTATTGGGTCTAAGAGCGTGTTTACAATTTGGCAATCACCTTAGTGTTATCACAATCAAGAATGTCACGTACATCTACCTTCTGGCTAGCGTGCACTGAGGATAGACTGGTCCCTTATTCTCCCTGCATGTGATTTAAGAACACTAGGTTTAACATACGTAAGGCCACAAAGTTCAGCGGACATTATTCTTTTCCGCGACTCCAGCATACTTAGGTTACGATCGTACGTACACAATCACATCTGTGTTCTTGCCTGCCATGTTCCTCTACTTTACAGATGCGGTTACAATTAAACAGAGGATCCTTTGCTGTAGAAAATTCATAATCATCTTTGGTTCGAGCGGACCTGTTCATCGCACATTTACTGTCGGCTCTTTATATGTTTAACTTCAGGGCATGGCAGACTACTGCATCCTTTTCTTACTAAGCCTAGGCAGATTCTCCGAGGGAATATTGATCAATATTTCTTCGAACAAGAATCCTTTTGTTGGAGGTTTTACTCTGACTATCTGCCATTTTGAAACTGAAAAAAATCCGGTAGTGCCAGGGGCTCGCGCGGTATGAAATTGGGCAATAGGGGAATTAAACTTGTTGATGCGTGACTACATAGTTAATCAGCTTTTGAACATTTAACTTTGATGACAAACCAAGCTAGTTGTAAAAACATTTGTTTTTAATACCTTTGAGCCATCGATCTTCATGACCAGCGTCCATCCACCTCCTCCGCATGCATCAAGACCATGCGTGGTCATGTGACAGTATACGGGAACCTTTGTAGACCCAACATCCAGCAAATACGCTGTGTTTCCTTTGGACCTGGTAAAAAAAACCAAAAGGCTAAATTCATTCAGAATGACATAGCTACAGTTGCTCTTTTTTTGGTAGAGTGGACTAGTTTCTTTAGAAATCTGGCGAATTTTGAATTACATGTGGTTTTCTTTGCTATAGGTATCAGAATATTGTTTTGGAGTCGGGTCCTGATCGCCTGAACATTTCGTAACGTCGTTGCAACTCATCAACTGCGGCGATCCTAGCCTGCGAACCACAGACGTATTTCCGGTTGGAGGGAGAGAAGCGACGACCGGAAATACGTCTGCGGTTCGCAGGCTAGGATCGCCGCACTTGATGAGCTGCAAAGACGTTACGAAATGTATGTGCAAAGCCTAGGAAAGCTCGATATCTATATAACCCTTCCTCTGGAGAGGGAGAGAATTGTGTCTAGTTTGTGTTACATATTTTATAGTTTTTATGTGACAGTTACGTTATGTGATTGTTTTTACAGCTTATATAGTACACTGCCGTTGGGCATTTGTCTTTAATTCTGAGGTTTTGTGGACTAGGTAGATTGCCTTTATTCACCAAAAAAAACTTATTTACGAAGGATGTAAATTGAGCGGGTAATTAAAAGTAAAGGGATAACATTTGAGACTTGTTTCTGTCGTAGACAATCGACTTTCTTCACTGATTGCCGTTTACAGTCTTTGAAGATGATTTTATCCGCAGTGATTCTTTTGTAAGTTCAGAGTCTTGTCTTAATATCAAAAACTCCAGTTCTTATATAGTTCAGAGATTTAGTACATTTCACTGACTACAAAAAAACACTGTAATTGCCTTGACCATAGCGGACACTCCTGAATAAATGCATTAAGTCTTTTTTCTTTTTTCTTTTGTTCTTTTAAACCGACTTTCTGTGTTGAACACGAGTATCGCTTAAGTATTTGATTTACTGCTATTTTTCTCATTTTAATTTCGTTGATATTTTCTTACTGACTTTAAAGTCAGCAGCCATTTTTTGTCATCCAGAAAATATTTTCAACGTTGGTTTCCCAGATTTTCGTGTATTTAACCTGCCAATCGGTAGAGAAAATTAAGAAGAAATTTTCGCAATTTTAATTTGGAACGCTCAGAGATTTTAATAATATATTTCAAAATTTGCGGCACAGTGTCTTTTTATAGTAGGTAACTTTCTATCGCTTGCTTGTACTTACAAACTCTTTTCATAAATTTCTTTGCACGTGGAAGCTGTAAGAAGTAAGAGAACTGTATTAGCTACAGTGTATGCTACAAAAATGAATTTATTAAGCAAGGTAAATCTTTTTAAACAGACCCTTCGACATCAACATAGTTGTCTTTGTCCAAATGGCGGCTGCATAAGGTCACGTGACCGCTGATCATGTGACCAGCATGGTCATGTGACCATTTTGTATTAACTGTTGTTACTAAATAGGACCTTAAGTCAAAGTGTCCTTTCCGAAGAACAGGAAAGCAGGATAGTAGTGCCCTGGTCTCGGTGCTTTCCATCATCCGATTTAAACATTGATGGATTTTATTACAGTCAAACCCCGTTAATACTAACACTGAGGGTACCATAGAAAGTGTCCGTATTAAGCGGGTTGAATTTAGAGAAAATGTTAAGGTTCTTTTTTTTCCCCAGGGACAAAGCAAACTGTCTGTAATAATGAGGTGTCTGTATTAAGAGGGTATCCTGTATCACCTTGTGATAGAACAAGTGGCCAACTATGATAAAGATACTAAAATGAGTAGAAAAAACGCACATCGTCTCGAACGACAGACGAGATCTTCTGACGCTTTGGCAAACGAAATCCCGTAAACCGTTTTTTTTTTTAATGTTGTGCTTCTTTATTTAAATGGTACCCACTGTCTTTTTTCTTTCGTATCCTGGTGGAAAAGGCACCAGAACGTGTGATGCACGTGCAGAGCAATTAATTTGTTCATAAAATCAAGTGTGTTTGCGTTCTCGTTGCCGTAGTCGTCTTGGTTGCTTTTGCCCGCCATTTTCCTGCACTTATTGATAAGTGAGGGTAACATAGATGAAGACATCGAAATTAAAAGCTATAAGTAAACGCATCTTACCTGGGGAGGCAGAGGGCTGTAGCAGTTTAATTAACTGGTCTAACTTTTTTGATAGTTTTTCATCAAGTTCCTAGATAGCCTTGCGAGTTACTCTTCCCTGTCCAATGCACTGATTGCATACTTTTGTTTCACAATTTTTACTGGCGCGGAATGGTGGAATCTGCACCATGAGAACCACAGAGAAAACTGCGCTGAGCCCAAATCGCATTGTGAGAAGCAACTTTGTTGTCTAAAACTGCAGTATTCCGTGAAGGTGTGTTCGGTAGAATAATACGTGCTGAATAACCTTGCGCGCTTTTATATTAACAATTAGTTCAAGTGTCAGCGTACCTTTGTCGAGATACTGAGCACGCGGGAAGTTTTAAGAGCACGAAAGAGGCGTAAGAGTTGCCCGAGGCGCAGCCTCTTTAGTGCTCTCCGAACTTCCCAAGTGCTCGACATCTCGACTTCCGCACAGCTGAAGCATAAACTAATTGTTTTATAACATAATCAAAGCGATCAATGCAGCAGTTAACTTACATTTTTATCATTGTACTGCGCGCTCAAAGCAGTCCGCGTCAATGTCTACGTGACTAAATTTTTTAACCTCACAGTTATTGTTTTGTCTTTAAACTGAGAGAAAGTTTACTTAAGTCGCTTATGTTACCATTAAAAAAGATTGTAAAATCTATATTGAGGTGCTGAAAAACTATTAATTCGTCGAAAAATAGGCATTCTTTGTTCAAGCAAACAAAGCTGATTCTGATTGTGAGTTGTAGTCATCTATTTCCTTCCTTTAAAGTATAATGATTCTTTCCAGTATGTTCTGTTAAAGAACGTGAAATACGGTTAACATACTTTCATTGTATGAAGTTATGACCTCCGGGACGTGCCCTGTATCAGTATCAAATTATGTTGTAAAATGAGCTACTTTCCGTTATAAAGAGAAAGGTATAAGAAGGTTCCGAGATAACGAGTGATCTGATTTCCTCCCTTTAACATCAGGAGTCCCGCAAGGGTGAGTCCTTACTGTTCTTGCTTTTTATCAATGATATGCCTAATGTAATTTCAAAGGAAACATCGTTACCCCTGTTTGCTGATGACTAGATGACGGCGACAAATTGCAGGATGACTTGAATAAGTTATTCCAGTGGTCTGGGGAATGGAGTTTAATAGGTCATGGGGATAACTATCACATTGAATTCATGCAATTCATGTGTTATTTGCTGTTAAACTATGCGGGATTGTTCCACTTAGGCACTTCTTCATCCACAACGATGAAGCAACCTTGTTCAAATGCTCGTCCCCCCACCCCCCGCCTCCGCCCGTATGATAAGGGTACATTGGATGTCAAAATTGTATTTTTATACTCTCCATTGCATTTGAGATTAGTGTGCAATTGACAACTATCGACAACTGATTAAGCTGGGACTGAAACAATAAGAACCATTTTTCTTGAACGAGTACGTGAAGTGTTTGCTCATGGCTATATCTTTTCTGTGAGGTGAAGGCGAAGATGTATTTTTGCTATAGCAGCACGGGAATGGAGTTTAATGCCAAGAAGTGTAAAGTTTTAAGGGTGGCTCGTATAAGATCAATCGATGGTAGGGACTATTACCTTGGTTGGGTTAAGTTAGACCGTGTTGATGTTGAGAAAGACCTGAGGGTTTTGGTTAGCCACAATTTAAGTTGGAATAATCACGTTAATCTTATCTCCTCGCAAGCTCCAAAAAAAGCTTAATGTCCTTTACCGAACATACGGGGACATAATTGATATTATTACAAAGAAATTACTTTATATTGCTTGTGTTCGTTCGCGCCTTGAATATTGCTATTGTCTCATACTAAACGAAACATCACCAATTTGGAACAAGGTCAACGCAGGGCTAAAATATTCATTTTTGGAGGGGATTATTCTCAGTACGAGCGCTTTAATAAGTTAAATTTAGTACCTTTGAAGTATTACTCTCCAAACTTTTTAAGTGCGCAATATCTCGACTTCCGCACAGCTGAAGCGTGAAGTTATTGTTTTATAACATAATCAAAGTGATCAATGCAGCAGTTAACTTAAATGTTTATTATTGTAGTGCGCGCTTAAAGCAGTACGCGTCAATGTCTACGCGGTGACTATATTTTTTAACCTCACAGTTATGTTTTTGTCTTGAAAATGAGAGAACGTTTACTCAAGTCGCTTACGATAACATTAAAAAAGATTGTAAAATCCAGTGTTCTCCTTATCAGGCGGTAACCGGTAACATTTACCGCTTGAAGCAACATTTCTTACCGCCTGCAACCTCTTGAAGTGTTACTAAAATTGAATATATTGTTTAAAAAAATATGCAAGTTGTGATCCAAGGACGTGAAATGCGGTTAACATACTTTCATTGTATGATGTTATGACTTCCTGGGCTTGCCCTACATCAGTATCAAATTATGTTGTAAAATGAGCCACTTTCCGTTATAAGGAGAAAGTTATAAGAAAGTTCCGAGATAACGAGTGGTCTGATTTCCTCCTTTTAACATCTGGAGTCCCGCAAGGGTCCATTTTGGGGTCTTTACTGTTCTTGCTTTTTATCAATGATATGCCTAATGTAATTTCAAAGGAAACATCGTTACCCCTCTTTGCTGATGACTCAAAGTGTTTTCACTTAATTCTTGGGCGGGATGACGGCGACAAATTAAAGGATGACTTGAATAAGTTATTCCAATGGTCTCGCATCTGGGAAATGGAGTTTAATGCTAAGAAATGTAAGGTTTTAAGGGTGGCTCGTATAAGATCAATCGATGATAGGGACTATTACCTTGGTTGGGTTAAGTTAGACCCTGTTGATGTTGAGAAAGACCTGAGGGTTTTGGTTAGCCACAATTTAAGCTGGAATAATCACGTTAATCTTATCTCCTCGCAAGCTCCAAAAAATGCTTAATGTCCTTTACCGACATACGGGGAGATAATTGATATTAGTACAAAGAAATTACTTTATATTGCTTGTGTTCGTTCGCGCCTTGAATATTGCTATTGTCTCATGCTAAA